GAAGAAGCTGGGAAATACCCATTTCTGAGACTTTTTCAGGCTATTGGCTGTAACTGTGGCTCTATTAGCATTATTGGACTCCTAGTGTGATGCTGTAGCATGGGCACTGGACTACGCAAACTACCAGGTGTGTGGTTCAAATCCACCAGAAACTATACAGGATTGCTATGAGTCAGAAACTGACTGGCAACACTTAACAACTCTCTTGGGAGCAGAGCTCCAGTAAATGCATTTTGATAGGAAATGAACAGGATAAGGAGCCTGCAGGAATGAACTCCTCAGCATTTCCATAGAAGGAAAGAAAGGACACTTAACATTCTCTGGATATCTTTAATTTGGAAATCTCAAATTTAACTCTAATTTACCAGAGAGACAATCAGAGAGTACCTGGCTGTTGCATGGCAGGTGGCCTTCCGCTGGGAGCTCTTCCTTGGTAGTCATGTGAGAGATGCTGGGGAGACCCAGTGTGATCTACTTATCACCAGATGTGCAGTGTTGTTTTATTGACTGTAATATTTCCTTTCTGCCTTGTCTTTTAGACTCACCAGAAGAATGGATTTTACAGAGGCTTACTCCAACACATGCTCTGCAGTTGGACTTGCTGCAAGGGAAGGAAATGTCAAAGTTTTAAGGAAACTGCTCAAAAAGGGATGTAGTGTTGATGTTGCTGATAACAGGGGATGGATGCCAATTCACGAAGCAGCTTACCACAACTCTGTAGAGTGTTTGCGGTTGTTAATCCATTCAGGTAAAATAACTTTGAGGGGTGGGAGGCTGGGCCTACAAACTGGACTAATAAAACCTTAAAATAATAGTACCATGATTTACTAATAATCTGTAATTCTAACTGGTGGTGCTTGTTTACAGGTAAGATTGATAAAATTGTCTGCCTTGGATTACATCAGCATGGCGTTACAGTTCAACACCCATAAGTGGTGTCCTTTATACGGACATGCTTTTGCCTGGTCTGCTTTGTTGCTGGAGCTAGGTGATGTGGAAAAGTAATATGCTGTTTTATTTGAAACATTTGCTAGTTACTGGTCATATTTATTATTTCTTTCTTTCCCAAACAAAAGGATCATTGTTGCTGAAATTGAGGGTGTGCTCTGTTTGAATTAGTCTCTCTCTCTCTCTCTCTCTTTTTTTTTTTTTTTGTACCGTTAAGTTTTAAATTTTGGGACTCTTTCCAATTATATAAACTTGTATTTGTAGTATATATTCTTTCCACATTCTTCAGGGTTGCTAATGAAATAATCAGAAAAAAAATCTTTGTTGTTATGGTTAGGAGATTCAGAGACAGGGAGGTATATATGAGCTTTGGGATCAAATAAGATTGGGTTCAAATATTAGTTCCTCTCCTTACTGGTGAATAATTGCAAAAATGGTGCGAGGCATCAAGTATCAATGCTACCCCTCTGTATACAGGGTAGACAGGGACAGGCAACTTAGATATTGGCTAGCGACCCTGTACAGTGTTTGCGAAGCTGTAATTCTTTGTTGTTGTTAGGTGCCATCAAGTAGGTACCAATTCATAGTGACCTTATGCACAGCAGAATGAAACACTGCCCGATCCTGGGTCAACCTCACTACTGTTGCCATGCTTGAGTCCATCAATACTGTCACTTGGCTAATCCATCTCTTTGGGGGTCTTCCTC